GCTGTCTGGGTCCGTGAAGTGCTCTTGCTGTGAGAAGCCTGGTGTGTGAGGGTCATGCCAGGCTGGGAGCCCCGGTACTCAGATTCCAGGCTCCCAAGGTGCCCCCAGCTTCCCAGGTGGCCATAAGGCCCCACTTGCAGAATGTGCCAACTCTCTTTCTAGTCCCAGGAAATAGATTTTTTTCTCTCTCTCTCTCTCTCTTCCTTCAAAGGCCCTGGATTCCCTTCTCCCTCTGGAATGCCCCCTGGGATAGATTCTTTTTTACTTTTTTAAAAAATTTATTTATTATTTATTTTTGGCTGCGTTGGGTCTTCATTGCTGCACGCAGGCTTTCTCTAGTTGCGGCGAGCAGGGGCTACTCTTCGTTGCAGTGTGCAGGCTCTGTATTGCTGTGGCTTCTCTTATTGCGGAGCACGGGCTCTAGGCGCTGCACCTTCAGTAGTTGTGGCTCATGGGCCCTAGAGCACAGGCTCAGTAGTTGTGGCGCACGAGCTTAGTTGCTCCACAGCATGTGGGATCTTCCTGGACCAGGGCTCAAATCCATGTCCCCTGCATTGGCAGGCGGATTCTTAACCACTGTGCCACCAGGGAACTCCTGGGATAGATTCTTTTCAGTGAGTTTAAGCTGGAACGTGGTCTGCAGAAATCTTTTGCTTTTAGCCTGGCTTTCTGAGCCACTGATCTCAGAGAGCGTTCTGCCTTCTTGGAGTGTGGGGTAAAGGAAAGCTGCAAAAAATAAACCATGAATTCGAATCTTGATAAAAGCATATGTGCTGCCACAGACAGAAAGTAAAAACGCACCTTCTGGGAACTTACTGTTTGGGCATGTTCTTGCCTTTTTTTTTTTCCCTTCTTCTGTGCATGTTATATAAAAGTTGGTTTTATTATTTCTCTACCTTAATGAATAGGTCTTTCTCTTATTTTAATATATTGAAATGGGACATTTTAACTTTTTCATCTTTTTACAACTTCAGTAGTTCTGGGTTCCTTTTACTGACTGTTTGACTGAAAATGCCCAAAAATCCCAAGGATAATGTTTTCCAGTTGATAAGTTTTATCTGTACTTTTCTTTTTTTTATTGATTAGTTTATTTGGCTGCGTCAGGTCTTTGTTGCAGCGCATGGGTTTCTCTCTAGTTGTGGTGCGTGGGCTCCAGAGCACACAGGCTCGGTAGTTGCGGCGTGCAGGCTTAGTTGTCCCATGGTAGTTGCAGCACATGGGCTCTCTAGCTGTGTTGTGTGGGCTCAGTAGTTGCGGTGTGCGGGCTTAGTTGCCCTGCAGCATATGAGATCTTAGTTCCCCGACCAGGGATCGAACCCGCGTACCCTGAATTGGAAGGTGGATTCTTAACCACTGGACCGCCAGAGAAGTCCTATCTGTACTTTTCTTCTTGGCTTCATCCTTACCCCTTTGTGAATTCCTCTATTCCTTCCTCACCACTCCCTTCTCCCCTTCTCCATTGTTCTGATCCTCTGACACCTCTCTGCCTTCTCCACTTTGCTTTTAGAGGGCTTGGGGGCGACTGTGGTAATTAACTGTCTCTGTGACCATTTATTCCATGAGACATTGATTGTTGTTTAGTAAGGTGTCCGGCCTGCGGTGGACAGCACAGCAGGTGAAGCCCAAGATGGGGGGGGTCACAGTTGTCCCCCAGCATCTGTAGTAAAGAGAAACTTTATGGAACAGGAACGCTTTTGTCATCCCCTGGGGCATACAAGGCAGTTTCTTGTTTTTTCCACCAGGTGACAGCATGGGACCTCTTCAGCAGAGAGCGAATATGAAAACCGGAAGTCATGCAGGCACACCAGGGCTTTCGTTCCACCATTCTCGGGGACATACCATTAAGAAAGCACCCATGTCTCGTCAGCAGATATCACAAGCCCTTTGAAAGAGGGACAGAGTTGATTTGAGTAGGGGTGTCTTCTTGATTCGTGTTCTTTCACTGAACTGATTTAGGCTGTGGGGTGCTTTGGAGCTAATCCACAAATGCATATTTCACTCTGAACTTTGAAGAATGGTTATGCTTGTGACCCTTCCAGAAACAGGGCAGCCATGTCCCCACGGTTGAAGTCTCCCCTGCAGAGAACTCAGGGACAGCACGCTGTGCTGGCACACCATCCTCGGGCATGGCTGCTGAGTGGCCATGCCCTGCTCGGCTACCCCAGGACAGAGGTGAGGCAGCCCGGGAGAGCTTGAGTGAGTGCACTGCCCACCGCCTGCTGGTTCTGGAATGTTGCGGGTGACCCTCTCTGCTCCTCAGTTCGCTGGGCCTGAGATCTAGCCCATCCTGGAGGCAGCTGACAGAGCAAAGGCCGTGGGCAATAAAGTCTCCTGCGGGATTTGGAAGGTTTTGGCTGGATGGAGCCTGACACTTTGGTTCTTATTCTTAGTCTCGTTATTCCACTGACTCATTACATGACCTTGACCGCGACTTGGGCTTAAGAATGTCAGTTTACGTGCAGTCTAGGCTGACTGATTGCAAGTGGGGGAAAGGCTGTTTGTAGTTGTTCTCCCTGCACTTGGGATTCATATTGCTTTCTTTTCTTTTCTTTTTTTCTTTTTTCTTTTTTGACAGGTAAGAAGTGGATTTATTTAGAGAGAAACACACTCCACAGAGTGTGGGCCATCTCAGAAGGCGAGAGTGGCACCAGGGTACGGGGTTGTCAGTTTTTATAGGAGCGGATGGTTTCATAGGTAATGAGTGGGAGGTGTGTTCCAGCTATTTGGGGGCATGTAGCTTTCAAAGAATGTGGGTTTGGATTTGTTTACTTCTTTGTGTCTAGATTCCTTTTGATAGGAGCTGAGAAAGTATAAAGGAGAACATTAAGGGCAAAGCTGCCCACTGTCCTTAAGTCGTGTCTTTGTCTCTCCTGTCACACGTGGTGGCTTCTCTCAGGTGCTCCGTCATTTAGTGTCACTGCCGTGCCACATCCTCTGAGAGGAGGCTTCGTTGAGTCTTCACAGGCACGCCCAGCTCTGCTGAGCTGTGTTTTGCCTTCCAGGAGTCACTGGCTGTTTCTGCCTTTGAGCCTGCACCCTTGTTCCCTTCTCTTTCTCCAGTGTCATTACCTCAGAGGACTGGATTGGGGAGACACACCATACATCTAATTAACAATCTCTGCTTCTGAGCATCTTCTTTTTTCCCCTTTTGTTTCTGAGGAAATTTCAGCGGAAGCCTTCTTCGGAATCTTAGCTTTCACGTGAGCTTCAAAAGCACTTAAACAAATGGTGATTGGCTGGTTGAAAAGGTTATGGAGGAAAGGCTTCATTGCCAGCTGCCGCTATGTTCTGAAAGTAGCTGTGGCCTTGAGAGGGCAGCCGGTCTCAAGAGGGTCCTCAGGATCAGAACTCTTTTCATAATAAGACTTTAGCAGCCTTCTTTGCTGTTGATGTTTGCACTGATGGTGCAAAAGCAGAGGTGGGTAAAACAGCTGGCGCCTTAGCATGATTCAGGACGGTGGCACCAAACTGTTAGTGGCCACTGCATTCTTCATTACCGTCTACTTCCTGGGGGTGAAAAAGGCTCACTTCACTTAAGAATGACCTTGATGAATTAGGAGCAAGTACTAATGTTATTAAGCCTCGACCCTTGAATATTCGTCTTTACCATCCTGTGTGGAATGGGAAGTGCCCAGGAAGCGCTTGTGCGTCGTACCGGGTTGTGATGGTCACATTGTGAGCAAAAGCGTGTGTGCAGTTATTTGAGTTGTGAGCCGAACTAGCTGCTTTCTCTCGGGACACTGTTTTTATTTGAAAGAATGATGACAGTCGAACTGTGTTTACTCAGACCTGGGCTTTTGACAAACATTTTCCTGAAAATGAACAAAGCGAATGTGTCACTTCATGAAAACAATTAAAAATATTTGCTGTCAGTGATCTAATTTTCACTTGAAAGCACAGATTTTAATTTAGGAAAACTTATAATCTATCACTGTAAGCTTGACGGCTTCCCAGTTCTTAACAGACATCTGGTGTGAGCAGGGGTGGTATTAAACAAATGTGACTTAAAAAATATTTTATCATACAAGTTTCAG